GGAAAGTTTTTCTGTTCCGCAATAGAAAGACGTGGGGAAATGCATTCAATCTGCTTTTCTTAAATCTCTTTGTTCACAGCAGCAATTCATATCAACCTCAAGTGAAAAGTATTTAGTCCATATATTTATAATTTTTACTTGAGTTTCTAAAAATTTTCAGACTATTTCACTTTTGTTAGTGCTTTATAGGAAGAACAGGGTGTATGCCCACGATATGGTAAAGTACTGTGCCATGGCTTCTCCGTGCATTTCATTTATGTAGAGTCCATCATGTATCACAAGTGATGGAATTTTCTTGACCATAGAGGTCAAGCGGGAACTTTCTAGAAAGGAAACTATAGTTTTTAACCTTTATATTTTAGGATTTTTTTTTAAAGCTTAAAATTTAATATCTAGGGTTCCTTTCTGACAGTCAAGTAAAATTGCAAATGATTTGTAATAGCACCTGCACCATTGGTAACTTCATGAATTTTAGAAACTATAAAATACCAGTTTGCAGTAATTAAATTTTGCTACCTTTGTAGAAATTATTTTCTTTACCATTGCTCTCTTAAAGTAGTTTAGTTTATATCAGGTTCAAGTTCTTGCTTATAAGTAGTATGATTAAATAATCAGGAGTCAGAATTCTCTGGAATGGGTTTGTGATCAGTATTAATTATTAAGGCTGACCTTTTACTTTCTGTTATTCTTTCTATTGCATAGATTGTATTTAATAGGTGGTTAAACACAATTTCATTTAAAAATATTTTATTTATTTTAATTGATATGATACTTAAATATTATAAAAACATTTGAAAAGGTAATACATAGAGAGTAAATCATTAATGTAAATACTTGGTGCTCACTTGCATTTATGTTTATTATCTAAAAACAGTTGACAGATTTTACATCTTTGATATAAAGCACTGCCATATTTCTATTTTAAAAGGAAATTAGACATTTTATGTATAGCTCAGATTGATGGCATTCTTCCTATTTTGTGTTAGTGTTTGTTACTTAGTTTTTCTGAGCTGCCTTTTTAACTTCTAGAAAGTTGTTTTAGCTATCTTTTATATACTCTTAGCTCCACACAAAATAAATAAATGTTTTTCTTGTGAAGCCTGTAGGACTGGATGAATGGGGTTGTGAAACTGATTTGGCAAGAGAATAATTTACAAAATCCAAGTAAATATTGAGAAGCCATAGAAATACTGAAGATGGTGACATGAATATTAGGATGAAAAATTTAATGTAATTCCAATGCTCCCTTTATTCATTTATAATGAAAGTATAAAAGTATGAGTAATTGATCTTATAGAAGATCATGAGAAATGCCAAAAGCTGATATTTTAGCAATTCTGAGGTGTTTAGATCCATTCTGAACTAAATAATAACTATTGTAATTTCCCCATCTGAGACTGTTTTGTCAGAGTTTATAATAGATTCAACTTCTGCCTCAGATGAGATGTTGGAAATCTAGCTGCTTTTTCTTTAGAAATTGTAGATGGCATCATTTGGTACTGCCTAAAAAGAGTTTTAGACTCTTGGCAATTGATGGAGAGTATTACCCATGGTGCTGATTATTGTTATGAGCTTCCATTTCAGTGGTTCCTTTCCATTCATAGCAGCATAGTCATTTCCAAAGTCCCCGTATCTGCTGCTATTTTTAAAAATACCCTGATGTATCTAAACTAGAGGATTTCCTCACATCATTTCCTTGTGTTTGGACATCAAAGGGTTAGCAACTGTACTTATTTTACCGGAAGTGATTTTAAAATTTAAACTGAAAACTACCTGGGATGTAGTGTTTCTGTGATTTTATTTAATTATGTATAGTAATTGTCCAGTGCCAGAAAAACCATGACTTGCAAAATTCTCTGTGTTCAAAATATTTTAAGGTGTTTCTGATTCCTTATTGGTTTCTGCTTGCTTTTGACTACTTGACTTGCAAAATGATATGATATGACTACTCCTCCATTGAAGATCGAAGGTAAACTCATGTTTAAGTAATTGACTGCTTGTTTTAAGTGGTTATGGTATTTCTTCCACTTTTTGAAAATTACAATCATGGATAGCATTCATTGTAAGACAGTGAAAGATATAATTTACTATATATATTGATTTTTAAATGTTGCCTTAAATAGGTGTATATGAGCAGTGGTAATTGCTATGTACTGATTTACCTCAAGGTGCAAAATAGTTAAACCTGTACATATTCCATTTACAAAATAAATTCAAATAAACAGCCCTGCACTTTCTTAGATGCCTTGATTTTCAGAATAGAGCTTAGTGCTACTGAATACCCTGGCCATAGAGCCGCCTCAGGATATTCTTTTCTCCACCATATTTTTATTTATTTATAGATGTCTGTTTACAAAGACTATAATAAATTCTGATGTTGACCATTTGAAATTTACTTTCTTCTGATGGCTGTTTCAATCTAAAATAGCAGCTTTTGAGAAAACAATGAACTAAACTTCCTTATGATAAAAGGATGATTCTATATATTTTTTAATAATACTAGGTATGTCGAAATGAAGCACAGTCTTTCAAAAGTGTATTGAGTGAGTGTGTTGTGTGTGTATGTGTGTGATATTATCAATCTTAAATCTTTTAGGTTGTTTAAAGATGTGGCGTACCAATGTTCATATTTGCCAAGTCTTCTGTAAAACATGTAGGATATGATTTTTATGTGCTAATGCATGTATTTATAAAGATTTGTTTACCATTCAGACTTAATAACTTTTGTTTTCTACATCCAAAAAACATTTCTGTTTCTTCCACATACTCTGTGAATAAAATAGCTTTCTAACTTTTTCCTTTCATAAAGGCAGGTTCAAAATTCTGTAAGAAGAAAAATGGTCTCTGAAATTGAGGTATACCACCAGAGCTTGCTAGTTAGAGGATTATGTCATGTACATGAGTTCTGTAAATGTGCTCAACAGTTGGTGAATCCTGTTTTTAAAGTGCTCAGATTTTGGATATGTAAGCCATGGATATAACATTGTAATTCAAAATGTTTATATTAAATAGCAATATTTTAAATTTATTTATGTAGATCGCATCATTGTTATCGTATGCAGTGCAAATATGTGAAATGCCCTGTTGTTTATTCCAACAATTATTTATTTTTAGAAAGTAAATTTAAAAAGACTTTAAAGACATTCAAGGTTTAAAGTGGTGTTCAAATTTTAAGATTTGCAATTTTAATGGAAAGTCTCTTTTCCAACTTTAGAAAGTAAAATAAGTGTCAATTATAGGAAAACAGTTGGAAATGGAATCATCTAAAGATTATCTTTAAAATTAAGTTTAATTAGCTCATATTTAGAGTACTTGTTAAGCCCCAGTTTTTTTTTAATCATAATTTTTTGCACATTGATTGGTTTTTGTGCTGTGGCTTTTGTTGCTTTATCAAAGTTTTTGTTTTTGCAGGAGGGAGGGCATCTTCCAGTGTTTACTACATTTACAAATTGAATTTTATTGTTCATTTGTGTAATATTTGATACCTTGGTGTAATTTCACAGTACAGTTAACAATTTTTATGACTTTTATAATTACAGTGATATTTTCTTTTATAATAAAATCCAAAGTAAATTAAACATTAAATTGTAGAACTGTTATATTTCATTTTTATGAAGTACAAGTCTCTACCCAAGTCTATAATGTGAATGATCCTGCCTTTCAAATTTGTTTCATAATTGTTAGAAGAAAACTATTTTTTTGTAGATGTTACTGAAGTTGAAAGAGCAATAAAAGTCTACTTAATTAGTTGTTGGTTATTGTCTTGACTTTGTACTCCAAGAGTGGCATAGCTTTCTCAGCTTGATACATGGTGTAGGAGAGGAAGGAAAATAAGGGGTTTCTGCCTCTTACCTCCCAGTATACTTTAGATGAAGAGAAAAGCAGAATCAGAAAAGACACTGAAATAAATAGTGTATCCATTTTTGAAGAGCAGCATTAATCCTGATTGTTTTATGTCCCCTGAAGCTTAATTCTGGTATATTCACCTGGATTTGGCTTTCATCCCTTTTCTATGTTCCTGAAATAGGATTTTTCCCTTTTGTTTTTCTTTTTATTTTCTTTAATAAGAATACTTTCACAATACACAACCTGAAGTACTGATGTATCTTTGGGTTCACTTATTATTAAAATCAGAGAAATATTAGGTAAGGGTGCACCATATTCATTTTAAATCAAGGTTGGGAGATTTTGTCAAGTGCTGATACACTTAATGTTCATTTTGAGGGATGTTAAGGTAGGATTGAGGTAGGGCTATACCTGAATAAATTGTCAAGGGAGCATCCTTGTGGTTAAGACAGGACTCTAGACAGTCACAGCATAGGTTCTACTGTCTCCATCACTTACTAGCTCTGTCACTTTGGGCTCTTCAGGCAATTTGTTTACAATTCTAGGATGAAAAAGGATATGACGAGTGGGTGAAATAATATGAGGAAATAACTTGGAATATATCTGGGACAAAATTTAGCACTCAATAAATTTGATACTTAAAGCTCCATGCTGTTTGTATCCTTTTATTGCTTTATTTAATGCAGTTGAATTTTTCTTTAAGAATCTGTAGATATCACATGGCGAAGTGACTTGCCCAAGGACATAAGATGAACTAGTGGTAGTTGTAACATAAAGACCTCTTGAATCCTAGGTCATTTATTTTCACAGCACCATTTTCTCATTGCCCGAGATGCAGCATGCTCAACTGAGAATGTTTTTGTGCCATATGAGTAGCATGTTGCATTGATTTCCTTTTCAAATTAGATCTTTGCTTTGGGAGAGAATCAATTTGATTTTGAGTCCACAGCATTTCCCGAAATACCCCTAGATTGCTCTTTCCCACCCATTTTATTTCAGTTCCTAAAGATTAGGCATCAGAAGTCTAGGAAAATCTGCACAGATTGGGAGACCTGTTCATAGATTGTTCAATGTCCAGGCAAAGACTGCAGTAGAGTGCTAAGCAATTCCTGCCACCTCTTATGCCTGCAGCTTGGGGCTGGATCTTGAGCGTTCTCTGGCTGCTAGGGCAACTCTGGCAGGCGTCACCCGTCGCTATGGCGCTCTGCACGTTGCAGCATGGCCCTTCCAGATTGGCTGAGGCGCTCGGCAAGGTGGAGGAAGATGCCTCGGCATTGGTTCAGCCAGCGCCGGTTGGTGGCAAGAAGGAGGATTTGATTGAAAAACCAACGGTGCAGCGGGCTGAGGTGCTCCAGAGGTTGAGGGGACCCGGAGAGAGCTAGGGGGAGGGTGGGACCCGAAGCAGCGGGTAGCAGCAGTATCAAAGATGACGACGGTTTGGAGATTGTCCTGAAGGAGGGACCGTCCCTCCCGCGTGGTGAGTGGGGCGGGAGCAGGTGCTCCGCTGTGCCGGCGTGCGGTTTGTAGCAGGGTCTCCAGGGAGTCACTCAGGTCCGGGTTGAGCGGCCCGCAGCCTCGGGAGCCAGCTTCACTCCACGGGGGGCGGGGAAGAGAATGCGGGCTGGCTTGGGAAGGGGAGTCACGATAGCCAGTTTCCTCAAAGCAGATGGGTTTGTGTTGGACGGATGGACGGGCAGAAAGAGCCATCCACAACGTTGGATCAAGGAGTTACTCTGGTTAAATGGAGTCTGAGTGTGTCTGTTCCACTCTGCTCCCATGCCTCTGGAAGCTCAGTCTGATCTCCTTTATGAACATTCCTTTTCTGCCTTCCCTTCACATGCTCTTTGCCCCTGGGCTTTTTTGCTCAGTCTGGGTGAGCCCTTCCACTTGCTGTGTTTTCAGGCACCATCTCTCTGCTGATGACTAGAAAGCCTCTGCCTCCAGCCTAGCCTGCTCTCCTATGCCCCAGACTCCAAGATCCGACTGCCAGTTAGCTCCACCAACCTACATGGCATCTCGGCCCACCCCCCACCAGCCTGCTACTGCCCTGGGATTCCCTATCTTTGACCCCATCATCTGCTCAGTTCCCTAAAACCACATCCTGGGCAGCATCTGTGACAATGCCTCTTCTTCGACATCTCAATTTTTTTATTAAGAAGGATATACCTTCTTAATAGATGTTGAATCAGTTCCTGCATCTCCATTCTTCCTAACAAATTCCACTAATCCATTGGTTACAGTATTTGACAACTGTCTCCCCTGATTTTAGTGTGTCCCTATCTAATTCATTTTTCTTCCCGTCATTAGACTGATATTTTAAAAATCAGGGTATCAGGAGCTGAGGATGTAGCTCAGTTGGTTGAGTGCTTGCCTTGCATGCACAAGGCCCAGGGTTCAATCCCCAGCACCAAAAAGCAAAACAAAAAAATCAGGGTGTCTCCCTTCCCTGCTTGAAGTCATGCAGTTATTCCCCATTACCCTAAATCTAGTCCTCAGACCTTCCTTTAGCTTGGTTGTTGCCAGAATATGCCATGTTTTCTCCTGCCAAGTTTTTTAACCTGTCATTCAAGCAGCCTGAAACAGACCCCCAAGTCCCCGCGCTTTTTTCCCCGACTCCCTACTGCTCTCATCCCCCAAGCATTTTCTGTGTGTCGCCTAATTACTTTTCTGCTTCTTCCTTTGAGCCGTGTCTGTGAAGGCAGAACTGTTTGTCTTACTTGCCATCGTTGTATCACCAGGCAAGTGACAGGTACTCCATAAATAGTCACTAAATGAATGAATCTCTAAAAAACGAGGAGTTGTTTTCTCATGACAGGTAGTTTCAGAAAAATCAGGATCACTTCTGGCCAATGAAACTTTTGCTTACAAAAGAAGAATGTTCTGTTTATAGGTTTTACTCTAATTTCAAGTCCCTTGGTAGGTGGAAACTATTTCAATTCACAGTCTACAGTTTCATGCCATATGTGATGGTAGCTGTAAGATTCCATCATACATCCCATAAGATTATTAAAGAGAGAATGACAGTGCAGTATGCTTTCCAAGACCTGTGTTTTGGAGTCAATACTACAATGGTTTGAGTCCTAGCTCCAGTATTTTAGCTCTGTGGCCCATAACAAGTTACTTAGTTTCTAGTCATCTTTTTCATGAGTACAATGGGCCAATCATAGCACCTACCTCATAGGATTGTTTTAAAGATGAAATGTGAATAATCTATACCAGGTGCATAGTACCTTATTGGAATTTGTGCTAATTCCATGGTCAGTTCACAAAAGGTAGAAATCTTCTGATTCTGTCAAGAGCAATTTCTTGGACCACATCATGTCATTATACCACTTGACCAAGAACTTTTGTATATGGCAACAGCTCTGATATAGGTAAGATACTCATTCATTCAGTAAGTATATATTGACCATATGGTGGGTCCAGGGCTTCATGCCAGCTCCTCAGCTGGTAGGTCAAAAGAAAGTGTAACCAGTAGAGTAATTTAGAAAGTGAAAGAAGGGTCTGGAAGTTAGTCTGCCTGTTGGAGCCAAACTTTGAGGCTGAAGGCATAGTGAACTGAATTGAGCACTTGGGTAGCAGAGAGGAGCTAGAAGTTCTTGTAGACAGTTAATAAATTAGCACTTGGGTTTTCATTTATGAACAGAACAAAGGCATCTTTCTCGCCACTGTTCTCAGGGAATTGGAGCAGAGTTCACAGGGCCCAGATTCTTTAGCCAGAGTGCCTGGGTTCAAATTCTAGCTCCTCCACTATTATGAAGTGGAGACCTCAGATGAGTTCCTTAATTTTTGCACCTGTTTCCTCACCTGTAAAAATGTAGTGGTTGTGAACACTGGATGAATTAACACAGATAGGATTCTTAGAACACTAGTGGGTACAGAGGATGTCTCACGTAAAAGTTAACTATTTGTAGTATGTTCTACTTAGGGGAAAGAAATAAGTAATCAGGGAAAAATAAAGCAGAAGGAGAGAATAGAAAATGTTAGCTTGAGGATGGTGTATGTGGCTTGGACTTGGGAATGAGTCTTCCAGTTTTGGAAGATTCAACCTTTCAGAGGAAAGTGACCTCATGATATACCTGACAGGTATCAAGATTAAAAAAAAAATAAACCCAAAACGTGAATATGAGCAGTATTAGCATTATTTCTCATTTAGCAAAACAATTGCTCATATTTTTATGCTTTCTCCTCATCTCAGCTAAAAGTATAACAGTTATTATAATAAAGGTCATGTACTCAGCTTATTAAATCTCATATTCGGATTATTTTTATTCGACATAGCATATTCTAGCTTCAAAGTAGTCAGCAGGGTCAGAGTGACAAAACAATAACTGGCTGGTTTGTATCAAGAAAAGAGACTGTAAAAAAACCTTCTATACAAATTAAAAATAATAGATAATAGAATAGATAAGGCTCAGGAACTGGAACATTGACCCTAAGCCATCAGGAGAAAGTTACACACAGTATTTAGTGTATTTTGCCAAAAGATTGGAAGTTAATTAATTTGAAAGAAGTATGTATCTGTATGTATTAAGGAAGTTAACATTTATCTAGAAAATTCACTTAGACACACAGAGTGCTGGATAAATACCACCAATGAAAGAGGGTTGGCATAGCATTAGAAGAACAGGGAGAGCTCTGCTTGGCTTCAAATCTCTGCCACGTACCAGTTGTGTGATCTGGACAAATGACTTAATTTCTCTGCACTGTATTTTCCTCGTTTGTTAAGCGGGTATGGTAATGGTATCCACCTTACAGATGTATTAGGACTACTGTATTAGATAATGCATGGAAAGCCCTCAGAATGGTGCTACCTAGGGTAACCACCAGGAAAGCGTTTGCTTTTATGGTTGTTATTACTAGATATGAGATCTTGGCCAACTTGCTTACATTTTTAATGCCTCAGTTTCTTCATCTGTAAGTTTAGAGATACTGTACTACCTACCTCATAGGGTTGTTTTGAGGATTAACTAAAAAGTGCTAAAAAGGATAAGAATAAGCCTTCTTAGGGGTTAGGGTTGTGGCTCAAGGGTAGAGCTGCTTGCTTAGCGTGTGTGAGGCACTGCATATAAATAAATGAATAGAATAAAGGTCCATCAACATCTAAAAATATTTTTTTTAAAAAAAGAATAAGCCTTGATAGGCTTAAAAATGGAAATGACGAATTTGACATTGAAATCAAAATTTATTCTTCATGTTCTGCCTAGTATTTTTCATAAGGGATTCAAAGAATGAAGAGAGACATGATTTAACATAAACAAATTGAAGTGGTAATATAATGAAAATATGTATACCAGGAATCATAATAATAACAACTTAAGTTTCCATATCCATTGATAATTTTAAAAGGGGCTTTGCTGTATTTAATCCCAACTATCAGCTTGCCATAGGGATATTTTTATTTTTAACTTTTTGTAAATGAGGAAACTAATAACCAGAGAGGTCTGGGGACATTCCCAAGGCCACCCAGTAGACAAATGGAAACCAGGTCTTTTCTGTGCTGTTGCTCCTTCTGACCATATCCCAGTGGTCCAACCATAAGAATTCATATTCCCAAATGTACAAACTCATATCAGTGGAGAGTAGGCCATTCATATGTATATTCACGTGTATGCTACACTTGAGATAACATGAATACTTCTCTTAGGAAATTTTATTATCCTATTTAGGACACTTGAGGTGGTCTGTATTCTCTGTGGCTTCCTTATATTTATTTATTTATTTTTGTATCAGGGATTGAACCCATGGGTGCTTAAACACTGGACCACATCCCTAGCCCTTTTTATATTTTATTTTGAGATAGGATCTCACTAACTTGCTTAGGACCTCACTAAGTTGCTGAGGCTGGCTTTGAACTTGTGATCCCCCTGCCTCAGCCTCCTGAGACTAGGATGATAGATGTACGCCATTGTGCCCTGCTCTTCATTGCATTTATAAAGAGATTTTTTTTTTTCAAACCAACATTCTGTAGTTACTGGTGCTCGGCTGGGGCAAAGTCCTCACTTCTTGATTTCTTTCATTATCTTTACAGACAAGAACTGTCTTTAGTAGAAAAACAGCCAAGACTGTCAGATGGGGGGTAAAGAAGAGGAAGGTGTCCTTTTTCTGAGGAACATGCCAAAGGGCTCTGTTCTAATTAGACTATCTTATTTGACACTGTAATATTGTTCTTCTTGCCTAATATAATGACTTCGGTCTTTCTACTTCTAAGTGCAGTTCATTTGAATTCCAACAAGGTTTTATCATTACTTTGGTTAAATTCCTCTTTATCAAATGAATTGGCCAAAGGTTAATGGAATGTGACAATAAATTGAATGATCCACATGTAGATTTTTTTTTTAAATTTCAGAGAAGAATACCAATGCTTCCAAACTCCTCATTTATTAGAAGTTCCGTAAGTTGGTGGAAAGCCACCCCGTATCCATTTCCCCAACCTTCACCTCATGCCAAGTTCCTCAGCTTCCGCTCAGCTCATCT